AGCATGTGGCAGCAACCTACTTCTGACAAGGGCCACCCCTGCCACCCCCAAGCATCCACACCCTCATCACTTGCCTGTTGACATTAGTGACAGTAAGAGGTTGTACTCTGTTTTAGTACACAAGTGAACTGCATGCTGGTGGACCTCTAGCTAGCCACTATCATTCCTCTGTAAGTTTAGGTCTAGACTGCAATAGACCTAAATAGAAAGAGGGTACTCACAAAAAGAACAAGAACTTAGGCTGAAGACATTTGCATGTCTGATTGCACAGAACTAGAACCATGGCTGATAATCCACAGTTCAACAATCCAATATTCATTTTCTAAATTTAGGGATACATCCTTCACAGATAGATCAGGTATAGAACATTGTGCTAAAAAAAAAAGGTGATGAGAAAATACATTCTCTCAACTGAACTGAATATATTTTTTATTGTGTTAAAGAGGAGTTATAACCTAAAACTTCATGGAAAAACAGCTTTAATGATTTGTACATGTTCCTTAACAGGCATGCCTTTAATGAGGTGTTGTAATCAGTCCTCCACTATAAGCAGAATCATAGATTTAGAGCCTTCTTAAACCCCAAGGCTTTGACTGAGCCTGTAAGCTTGAACTACTACTCACTTGGAGTAGTTCACCTCCAAAGGCATCATTTGAAACCATTGGCATAAATCAAACAAGGAGAAAGAAGACATAAAAAGGCACATCAGTATCATAAAATGACTCTGTAGAGGGTTCTCTACACTCCCAGAATGGCAGCACTTAGAGCTCACTTAGTACTAATAGGATGACTGAAGGAGGATCAATTTTCTGGCAAACAGGCATAAGGAATGTAGCCGCAAATATCTAATGCGGGAGACAGGGTGCACAAGAGAGCACAGTTGACAATACCACATTTTTCTTTCTTCACTGTAAAATGGAAGATATAATAAAAAATTGTACCTTGCCTCTTCAGCACAGTATTGAATTCCCAAGTTGTGTCAAAAAGATGTATCTAGTTTGACTAAAAAATTACTGGTTTCATTTAAATCTTTCCACCACATTTTTTTTAACTAGATATAACACCATCACTGCTATCCTTTCACACATACATAATATAGTTTTTAACACCATTCACCATGGATCCATTGTGAGAGCAGTAAGGGAAACCTTCACAGTAGAAATAACCATTTCTTGCTGCAGCAATTTTTTCTCAATTGTCTGATCTCTTTGATTTCAAAAAGAAAGGACATCAGCTTCATTCTTAAATGGTTGCTGTCATTTATACTTGGGCACATACTCACCAAATCCAAGAAAAAGGTCAGTTGGGTCAGCAAGCAAATAACAAGGGAAGTACTAACTCATAGCCTGTATGTGCAAGCAGTTAAGAAGTAAGGATTGTAAATAAGGAAGCTGTGATTCCCCTAGAGCTGCTGCTCAGTAGGGATAAAGGAAGCACTCCAATGCTGATCACTTACAGACAGACAGACTGGCTGACTTGGGTGTCTATAGATAGAGTGAAGTAATTAATCTCCTGGGCAGTTACATGCAACTCTCCAGACAACACCCTCACTCCTCAAAATCCTCTGCTTTCAACATAGCATACCATTATTGCACCATATCCTTCATCCTGAAACCTCCAGCTGACTGTATCATGACAACATTTCACTACTAATGGAGCATATTTTATAGATCAGACAATATGATTTTTTGATAGAAGTTATCTCTGCAACCTTTCCTCAAAGGGGTGAAATTGTTTTGTTTTTTTTTTTTTTTTTTTCTGAGTAAATTAGGCATTAGTTTGTGACACAAAAAAATCCACTTTTTAAAAGTTTTGGCCTAGAATGACTGTTTTATTTCCACCTATTTTTCTCTGCAGCTATTAGAGTACTTGTCCTAAAGACCTTTTTTCCCCTTTGAGTGAGGGACAAGTTGCTGCAAGAGCTGCAAATGCCTCTAAAAGGCTTTCGGTGAAACTTGGGCATTGAACTATTGTTGTCTTGGAAAATGTCTCCCTTAACGACATACTTTGGCTTTTTTTTTTAATTCAGTTTAATTTCAGTTGTGCTGACATAGCACAACTTTTGTTTTCTATAAGGAGTTTCCACCAAATACATATAACACTCATAACCTTCCCTTAAAACACCTGTGAGATGGATAACACTATCATCTCCTGTATTCTTTCTATACCTCTAGTCAGGTCTATTAAGAAGACTTTTGTTTACGTTTTGAGAAAACAAAATATTTATTTTTTTACTGCCATCTTGAGAAACTGGTTATTTCTCTGCACCATACCATGCTACTGCCTTCAGTCACATCACTCTGGAAAGAATCCATGTGTTTTTCCTCTATTATATTATGGTATAAGAAGATTAAAGTTATTTATTTCATTTAAGGTAATCTTTAGTTTCACATGTTGCTCATTGAGAGTGTTTATGCCCAATTAGATACTCAGGAGGTTTTATCACTTAAAGTTCTTTCAACTGGCTTCAGAAGAGTAATGTTCATTCTTTAGAACTAGCTAAAATTGAAACCTAAGTCATTGCAAATCATATGAACTGTGACTCAATCTCCATGACTGGAAGTTTCCAGATGTACAGATGCTGAGTTCTCCTTCAGAGCTTTCTGAAGGGAAAGAATGTGCATTTTCTAGCTATATAGGGGCCTGCATTAAAAAGAGAGTGCAGTATAGGAATGGTACTGAATAGCACTGGTATTCAGTGACATGCCTTTGCTATAAATTCATAGAAATAAATAAGCCATGCATCCAGTTCTTGCCTGATTAGGCACGCAACTGATGCAACTAGAAAATGATAGTGTGACCTCAGATAGCATTTTGTCCACATAAAATAGTGTTCCAAAACAATATCTAAGGATGACTGAATTGCATTAAATCTAATATCTTTTGAAAAATACAAAATTTCATCCACATTTTGGGATATTTTTGTACTTTCATTCTCTTAACTGTTATGGAAAATTATTAATCTGATCTTGGATGAGACATACCTGGCCCTGATTTGCATGTGTGTGTAACTTTTGCATCCTCTTTTAGGTATTTCAGGCACACCCAGCATTGAACATATGAAAACTATGCCATATTTTTAGCTGCCCTCCCCGCTTTGCTTCAACAAATCTCAGTACAAACAAAACCAGGATCTAGCCTCAAGGCAGGCAAGGACCTTCCCTGGATTCCAGAGTATCTTTTCAAGAGCATTGATTTTGAAGCCTGTTTTCTCCTGTAGGGGCTGACAAGCATGAAGTCAAAGCAGTTTTCTTACCCCAAAATAGACAAGTATGTTTTACTACTCCTGTTGCAGATAAAGATTAAGCTCATTGTAGCTAAAGCAGGGGTTTGTGAAACCTAGAAACTGAGCATGCACTATTTAGGGTATAACTAACATCAAATTGCCTTAAACCCAATATAAATGTAATTAAAAGTATAACCAATAGAAGCTTATAAACTTCTTACATATATTTTATGTATGTGTCTGAATAATGTGACCACCAGCAAGGGAAACAAATACACATACAGCAACTCATGGGAAGCATCTATTCAAGGAAAAAAATTGATAAATACAAAGATAGATGCAAAAGAGATAGATACAATTGACCAGGTAAGCAGTAAGAGAAGTAGATTATACCCCTCTTTTAGAAGGCAGGCAAAAAGCATATTAACATTAGGCACAAAGAGGAAGGACAGCGAATGAAGAGGACAGGCACATGACCAGACTTCCCCTATGGAAGAGCTATCTAGCCTTATTGTCTAACCAAGACTACCATGGACATAGCCATCAGACTTCACGGCTCCACATATGCAGCAGTGATTTCAGATATCTATGCTAAGGACAAATATATTTGCATACATAGTGAAGATGAGTAATACTGTTTAAGCATTAACCATTAGCACAAAATGAGTTGTTAATGAATGTATTTAATAAAGGCCTTTGAGTTTAAAATTGGCCTGCTTTATCAGTCTGCTAAAAACTTCAGTCATAATGATCTCTAATTTCCTACATGTAAACACATATTTAGTTGCAAGATTATGCTCTTTTTAGCTTTAATGATCACTGTCAGAACTCAAAATGTCCCTCAGACATTTTTGGAGGTTCCAGGTCCAGGTCAGAAGCATTTGAGACCCTGGCAGGCAGCTGGAAACAGCTGTGATTTTGGATTTGAACCATGGAATAATTTACCAACCTTGCAGGAAGAACAAGAAGTCACAAAAGTTTGGGTAATATAGTAGAAGTAAAGGGAAGAATTTTTTGAGTGCTGTACAGGGGGGTTTTGGTTTTGTACATGGGGGTCAGAGGTTTTAAGATGGAGGGTTTAGGCCTGTCCTGTCATCCCTCGTTCTTCTTCCTTACCTCCATGTTCTTGGTGATGTTGGCACTCACAGATTGTTTTAGAGTAGAAAAGCACCATTTAATATAGGTAATAGGCATTGGGGAAAAACTGTAAACATTTAACATGTAATGTACCATATAAAAGATAGCAGCAGCCCTGGGTGGGGGGAGAGAAGAAGAAGACGAGAGACAGAGAGGATGTCAGGGGTGTGTGTGCCTCTGCTTGAGCTGCTGAGCAAACCGCAGCAGCCCGAAAAGACAATCTTTTAGATAACTTGCAATAAACTGCCTTGAGACCGAACAAGAGACTGCTGAGCCTTTCTTTGGAAGCACGGGCTGGAGGAGAGATTTTTCCACCACACAGAGGCACCCTTGACCTAGGGTGAGCTCTGGCAGATCACAAAGTAAGAAAATGAACAATTTTTTTTTTTTTTTCTGCATGCTAGAGTACTCCAATTAAATTTAACTCATTGTTGCTGTGAGGGTAGTGTGCCTGAATCCTATCAGGACATGTGCCTCTTCCTCAGTGAAAATTGTTAAGTAGAGGTAATTCATATATCAGCCCAAGCATTTTAATGACCAGAAAGTGGAAAGCTGGCCAAGGCTTATGATATTACCACTGTACTAACCAAACATATAAATTTTCAGTGTAATCTGACTGCTAACATGTTGTTTGCAGGACATGTCCTTCTCTGGTGTAAGTGGCCAAGCTCCATGGTAGTCCATCGGACCCAGCAGAGGTACCAATCCCATGCATGAAAGTTACTGTTTTGCAATTTGATCACCTCTCAAATACTTGCTAGCAAAATGTACTCCCTGCAAACCCTAGCAACTAATTTTCTGTCTACCATTTTTAAGGTGTCACTGCTCACAGATCCAGTATGGAATCTTTTGCTGCTGCCAACATATGCTGTATTCTTAATCAGTTCTCATTTTGCAAAAGCACTCTTTGGCATATTAGAAAATGTACACATCTCACTGTCCTTCAATAAGTAGAATTACACCTCCTTTTCCCCTTCCACTGTGATTAGTCTGCGGACATTTTTCTTTTAAGTTCTGTTCATAAACTTCATACAGAAATAGTAGTGACTGATTACAGGAGCCTTGTCTTTAATCAGAAGTGCTGCCCATTAGCCCTAAGCATTTGACTTGCATATTCTTTAATCAGATGCCACATGTTCCTCAATATGACACCAGAAAGATATAATCCTGATAGTCTGTATCAGATGATGTTGTTATTACATTTGTGGGCTGATGCTGAAACCGAAAACCTTCTCTGCCTGAATGTTGGACTTACCATTTGTGTGTGCTTACCTGAAAAATCGCTCAAGCATGCCTCTTAACACTGCATACAATTAATGGCTTTTGTCATTTTCCTTTTTAAAAATCTAAAAATTAAAATTATACTTTACTAGGTATTAGGAATTTGACAATATCTTACCGTATTTAATTAAGTACTCAAGGTTCGATCAAAAGTACATCAGAATGTTGTTATAGAATATCCCAAAATAAAGTTTCTTGAAGTAGAGATAAGAACCAGTTACACAATAGTAGGCAAAACAGAGATTGTGTGAATCTATGAGTTGATTACACTGCTTCCTTGCTTAAACTAAAGTGCTGTGGTTGTCCCATTTCAAACTCCACTAGAATACAGTAAATTGTAACTCCTAAAATAACATATTAGTATATATTCAATTAGGAATACACTTAGAATCTCTGCTCATGAATTGATCATAATTTCTGTGAGACTTGATTGGTATTTGTGGATCTAGAACTTACGACTTTGAGAGACACTTTTTGTCTGATCCTTGGTCCTAGTGGGAGCTAGGGACTGACTAGGATTCCTGACTACTGTCTTCTTAAAGCCTCCTGTGATTTTTGGGACAATCCTGTGTACTGTAACATACAAGAAAAAGCCTAGGCAATAACACTAAATCATTTAAATCCCTGTTCCAGATTGAAAAGCAAGATCTATTCTATTTGCCATCTGTATGGCAGTTGTCTTGTGTTAAGTGAGCAGTTTTTCTTTATGTCTTCCACAATCAACCCTCCCTCCGGGGAAACATCTGCTGATAATGGGCCAGTGAGTGTCACTGCATGACTGATAAGAACTATAACATCCCATTGGGAGATGCTCCACCCAGAGAGAGGAACCAAGCATTCCTACCTGCATATACTCTTGAGATTCTGGCCCACCAACACAGCTTTTTCTGCACTGGATTTCCCAGAGCCTCTTCCACTGCCTCTTCAGAGGAAGACTACACCCTTTTCTACAGGATCACTGCTCCAACAAAACCACTCCAGGAGGACTGCAGCCACAATTCCAATTAAACTGCTACCAACACCCTGTCCAACAGGGTGTCAAGTTTATTCTGACACTGTTTTTTAGTTTACTGCATTGTTTATGTTATCTTTTTATTTTCTTCCCTAATAGAGAACTGTTATTTCTGCTCCCATATTTCTGCCTGAGAGCCGCCCTCAAATTAGTAACAATTCAGAGGGAGGGGGTTTACAGTTTTCCATTTCAGAGGAGGCTCCTGCCTTCGTTAGCAGACAGCTGTCTTTCAGAACCAAGACAATCCCTGAGCATTCACATACATGCTTGATATTCCATTGCATGCCAGGGCAGGCAACTGAGACCTTTATAGCTACTTCTTTTTCTGATCCCAGGGATAACAGGTCCTGGATCCCATGCCTGCCCTGTTACCTACTACATTTTCTGGGGCTAAATAGCTAAAATAGCTCATTTTTCAGTTCACAAATTCATCATACCACTCCCTCATATAAGAAATACTTATTTTTGTATATAGCTCATTTAAAAACATCCTTCAAACAAGCTTTCAGTGAAAGGCAAAGTAACATTGTTACTTCTAATAGGATCATTACAAATGTTCTTAATAAAGTTAGCAAGCAGGGCAGGAGGTTGTTAGAGCAGATACTGAACACACTTGCATCATAATCATCCTTAGATGCATTACAGACAATCTCCTGACGGAAGAGCTTTCTGCTCATAATCAGCTTTATTAGTTTCTTTGGGCTTGGAAATGTTCTGTGATTGGACCACAAGACCTTCACTCCATCTGCACATGCAACTTTTGTCACATAAAACTACTTCCTACCACCAGGGTGACTAAGGGAGATGCTTTTGCAGAGTGAAGTGTCTTTGCCGATTAAGCAAAATATTTAAAATAGTTTGTACACTGACAAAATGCTCCACAGAAATATTTGAATAGGAAAATTAAAGTGGCTCATTACCAGCTCTTGACTGAAAACAGACATGACCATAATTAAATCATTGCAAGGTGACATTACGTTTCATGTGGCTGATCTCTTCCACAGTGTTTGAGAAAGCTTAACAAGTACCAAATATAGATAACAGCATGGTGTAGCTTCCTCAGTTGTTCTCTTCACTTTTAGCATTGTTTACAATTTTATACCATTTCTTCTATCAGTATAAAAGCTTAACTGGCTTTTGCATGTGTCCTCTTTGTACAAATTCATTTTCTCAGATATTCATATCAAGAGTGGATTCATGCTTTACATGAAAATACCTGGAAAACTGCTCATTAGTGAAAACTTATGGAGCAAGGGGTTGTCAGAGCAATCTTCAGAACTATAGCACACGAAACTTATTTGGTATCAAGCCCTTCGAGATTTGAGACCCTCAAAATTTGAATCAAATTTCACAATTTAAATTTTTTTTTGTTATTTATGAGTAGCATAGCTGGACAATTATGATTAAGCAATTGCACCGTGAATTTGTATCCTTGGCATTTGTATTCCTTGTATTCTAACACTTTGTTTCAAGAAAAAGTGAAGACAATTCCAAGACGAATGAGAGTTACCAGGAGTGAAATCAGGACTGAGCAGTAACTGAGGGAAAGGTAGTTCTAGCAGTGGCAGATCCTGACCACCAACTCATTGACCACAGACTCAAACAGAGGAAAAAATTGCAACTGAGAACTAATTAGCACAAGAAGTGAGAGATATAATGAACACATTGGTGGTTGAGTACTAACTGATGAAAAAAACTGTGGAAACTGTGACCAATAAATGCTGATGCCTTTGTTTGTTAAAAGGTATAAACAGTATAAAGTTTAGATGACCAGGGAGTCAGGCTTCTGTGTGCTACCACCCAGCTCCCTCCTTTGCATACTCTAGTGTCCCAGGGTGATGTTATGGTGTTTGTATCTCCAATCATGTGTTCTGTTTATGTTTGATGTTATGTTCTGTGCTTTCAGAACTGACTCTGAAAGTGAAGGTTTGTTTTGCCTTGTTATCAGCCGGTTCACCTCCCCCCATGGTCTGCTGTCTAGAAAAGACTAGTGCTGGCTGGCTTGCTTTTGCTTCCTTGCTTGGCTTGCTTGCTTGCTTGCTTGGCTTGCTTGCTTTGCTTGCTTCTGCTTTTGCCTTTGCTTCCTAGTTAGTTTAGCTAAGCAGTCCAATTCTTTCCCTGGACTGTTTCTTTTCCTTTCCTCTTCCTGAATACCATCCAACCTGCTCCGGACTGGGACCTGGGAAACACCGAGGAGCACCAAGATGCTGCATTTTGTGATCTGCAGCAGCCATCCCCAGGGCTGGAGAGCAATCCCCAGCATCCAGACCCGGGCAACCACTCCCAGGAAAGACTTTCTGGATTTGCCATCTCTTCAGAGTGGTGAAAGAGTTTTGTTGTCATCTGGTGGTGTTAATTCTTTTGGTGCTAGGGAGTGCTTTGTTCATTAAATAAACAGGTTCTTTTCCACTTCTCTCAGAGAAATTTTTTTTCCTGAACCAGGCTGGTGGGGAGGGGCCATGGGGGTTTGTTTTCTGGGGGCTCCATGCAGAGGGTTCTCCCCAAATTTGCCCTAAACTAGGACATCTAGGATAAAAAAATAAAAATACCTCAACTTGGTGCAAGAATTGGCACTGAGTAATGAACCCACATTCAGGACAACAATTTAAATTTGAAGTTGCAAGTGGCAATCAATGAACTTGTGTCGTTAATAACATACCCAAAGTAATCTTGGCAGACTTTAGCTGTAACACACTAGAACACAGGCCAAGAAGGAACTACCTCCCTTTATTCAACAATATTCTAAATGGCATTGTGTTGGATTGATCCAAATTCTTGGATCTTTTGAACACATTAAAATAACTGGGTTTTTTTAATTCCCTCTCAGTAAGTAGAAGCTATAGTGGAGGTTTCTTGGTATTTATTTTGGATACACATTCTGAAAGATGCTTTGGAAATTCAACTTTTATCTTCAGAAAAGTTCAGTTTATCTAACTGAAGTATATCTAAACAGTGTTTGAAATATCATCTCAGAGTGAAAACATGCAACTTGGTCATGTTTTTAGGTTGTCAGTGGGGTTCCTCTAGTGCTCATGTGAGGGCGCCTGAGGTCCTGTGACCACTCTGGCTTGCCACAGGGTCAGGTCCGCAGGTGCCAGATAGCTGTAGAAATAAGAGGCTTCCACCAAGGCGGGTGACTCTCAAGAGGCTTTATTCCTGAGGGCTCCAAGAAGGGAAGGTGAGGTGGGCAGCAAAGGGAAGCAGCCGCTCAGAAGGCGAGCCAGCTCTGAGAGCCCCGAACCAGGGGCGGGGCAGGGATTATAACAGCAACCAGGAAGGAGGGTCAGGGTACAGAACTACCAATCGGGTGAGGGCTTGAGGGTGGAGTCAGTGAAGAGTGACACGGCAACGGCCAACTGGGATAGAGGGAAGGAGTGGTTTCGGGGGGAGAACCAATGGGGATACAAAGAACTTTGAACTTTCTAGAACTGGGGAAGAAGTACATAATGATTGACAGGAACAGGGGGAAGGGATAACAAATAACTGACAACTGGGGGAGGCGGGAAACTACACATCAGTTGCCTCCCATGATAAAGCAGGGAGGCCATCAACCACACCCCCTCCCACAGTCATGAGTGTTGATGTTTGACATCTAGACGTTGGAAAATCATGCTTTGTCACATGTTAGGCCACAAAAACCTGCCCCCGAGCAGGATCAAAGGAGTAGATGAAAGCAAATTGAATACTCATGGCCTTTTTGCTGGTAGCCCTGAAGGTCAGCAGTACTCCACCAGAGACTGGAAATTTCTGCTCATCAAACTACTAAAGGTGATGAAACCACTATTTTTTTCTAAATTACCACTGAAATCATATCAAATGAAACTACTGTTTCTTCTAAATTACTTTCTCGTTATAGACATTTCAAGTACATGGGACCTGCTAAAATGCAAATTCATTTACTATAATGACATCAGCGTGTGCCAAGTTTTTGGCTCATATATGAACTTCTGGGGCAGAGGGCCTAGCTTTCTGAAGTAATTTCTTCTGCTGCATATAACATGGCATCTGAACAGTAATTACAAGGACAGATTTAAAGAACTGACAGTGGCAATATTACTAAATATATATTTGACCAATGAGTATCTTCACCCCTGTGAATTCAAAAAAGGCACTAAAACATTAAGGGAAATTGTAAGGGACTTTGAGCAGGAAGGAAAGATGGAAGTACTCTAGGGCTGGCTAGCAAAAAAAAGAATCCAGAAGGATGGTGTTTTTTCCTTCCCTAGGTGAAAAGTACACTGCAACCAACAGGTCAAAACATACTGATCCCTGTTTCTTTAGCTGCACTGTGGCACGAAAGAGAGTACATTCAAATTGAAAATCTTTAAAAAAATAAAATTTGAAAAAAAAATCTTGAATATCAGCTAGCATGATGGGTTGACCCTGGCTGGACACCAAGTACCACCAAAGCTGCTGTAGCACTACTCCACTCAGCTGGACTGAGGACAGAAAATAAACAAAAGGTTAGTCAAACTTAAGGACAGGGAAAGATTACTCAATTAGTGTTATAGGCAAAACAGACTCAATTTGGGGCAACTAATTGATCTTATTACTAATCAGATTAGAGTACGATAATGAGAAGTAAAAGTAAGTCCTAAAGCCATTTCCCACAGCTCTCCCTTCTTCACATCACTCCCCTTATCTACTTCCTGCTCACCAGCAGCACAGGGAGATGGGGAATGGGGGCAGCAGACAGTTCATCACATATTGTCTTCTTACGCAGGGAGAGGTCTCCTCACAAGGTTCCCCTGTTCCAGCAAAGGTGCCTCCTATGGGAGTTAAAACTGCATGAACTTCCCCAGTGTGAGACCCTCCCACAGGCTGCAGCTCTTCATGAACTGCTTTATCATGGATGCCTTCAATGGGGTGCAGTCCCTCAGTAAGACTGCTCCAGCCTGGATTCCCCATGGGGTCACAAGTCCTGCCAGCAAGCCTGCTCCAGTGTAAGGTCGTCTGTTCATGGGGCCACAGGTCCTGCCAGGAGCCTGCCCCAGCATGGGGTCTCCACCAGGTCACAGTTTTCTTTGGACATCCACCTGCTCCAGTCCTGGAGGTCTCCATGGGCTGCAGGTGAATCTCTGCTCCACCATGGATCTCCACAGGCTGCAGACAATTGTTTAACCACAGACTTCATGATGGGCTACAGAGGAATCTTCTCACAGAAGCCACCACCCCTGTAGCCCCTGTGGCACCAAAACTTTGCTATGCAAACCCAACACAAACTTTCTTCAAGAGCTGTCACTTACACACCTCCCATATAATCTTAGCAGCAGTGCTGCTTCAAACTCGTTAGTGACAGGCATATTATAAGCAAAGATTGTTAACTCCTGCTACAGGAGTTTTGACAACAAGTATTCATTTCAGTAAGAGATAAGCTCATTCCTTGCCACTTTTGGTATGTTTCTTGATAGAACACAGTAAAGCATATGAAAAGGTGTCTTTCACAAGTATTAAATAGCACAAGGATTGAAGATTCAGTGCTGCAGTGTATTGTTTCTTGTATAGTGCATTATAAAGGACAGCAAATACAGAGCAATTCTCCTGTCCTGCAACAGTAGCCATGATGATTCTTTATGTCTGAATGTGAACAAGGAAACAAGTTTCAAGATTTCTAAATTATTTTTAAGCAATATTTGTAATCTTACATGCCAATTTTGAATAAAAAAATGGAAAATGTAATCCTTGCTTCCAATATTTGAGTTTGCTTCCTCTGGCATTAATAAATACTGAAAAAAAAAAATCAACTATTAGTGGGGAAATGTGTTGCCTTTTTCTTTCATCAAATTCAATGCTTCTTTCAGTATTTTTAGCTTTTAATATTATAAAAATAAAAATTACTCCATTTTCCCTCATTACTTCTCTGGAAAGAGCTTATTCTTCATCACCTCAGCTTTAGTTCTAATATCTTATATTTCTCTTATGCATTTCTGCCCCGGACACCAGCTACTTTGTCCTGCATTTGGAAAGAAAGCAAGTATTAACCTCATTAGTGAAGGTGTATGGATCTTACATATTGCTTGAAGATTTAAGACATGTATGGGACAAATTCCTGTGGAGTTACATGTTGCAGAAATGACAAATTCATGTCTCTAAGCACTCTTAGTGCCATATTTCTCATCTGCCAATTTTATTCCTCCCTGGATGCATTATTATTTTTAGCTATTAATCCAAGCTACTCTCTCAGGCAAAACTCTGGAAGTTTTATAATTCTGT